TAATGACATGTCTACCCAACATAACGACATGTACACCCAACATAACGACATGTACACCCAACATAATGACATGTCAACCCACATAACGACATGTCCACTCAATATAATGACATGTCAACCAAACGTCATGACATGTCATCCAAACATAATGACATGTCAACCCAACATAACGACATGTCCACCCATAATAATGACATATTAACTGAAAATAATGACATATTAACCCAACATAATGACATGTCAACCCAACATAATGACATGTCCACCCATAATAATGACATATTAACTCAACATAATGACATATTAACTCAAAATAATGACATATTAACTCAACATAATGACATGTCAACCCAACATAATGACATGTCCACCCATAATAGCGACATGTTCACTCAATATAATGACATGACAACCAAACGTCATGACATGTCATCCCAACATAACGACATGTCAACCCAAAATAATGACATATTAACCGAACGTCATGACCAGTCAATCCAACATAATGGCATTTCAACCCAACATAATGACATGTCCACCCAACATAACGACATGTCGACCCATAATAATGACATATTAACTCAATATAATGACATGTCAACCCAACATAATGAAATGTTAACACAACATCATGATATGTTAACCTAACATCATGGTACATATCAACCCAAATATAACGACATGTCCACCCATAATCATGACATGTTAACTCATTATAATGACATATTAACCGAACGTCATGACAAGTCAACCCAACATAATGATATGTTAGCCCAACATAATACAGACAATGAATATAAAACAGTTGTGGCCTTCCATATGCAATCTCATTGGTTAAACATATGATGCTTTGTTCGGCATGTACCATGTGGGATTAGGCAAAAATGCACATCAAACAAGTAGAATTATCGGTCAATTGTTAATACTATCAGAATATGCATCACGATAAGAGTTACATTACAATTAGTGACCTCTAACTTAATGATAAAAGAGCACTCGGGCAAAACGACACAGGCACGATGTTTCAGATGTATGATAGTCAGGGTGGTTTATACAGAAACACTATAGTAAAATACATCGCTGAACAGAGAAGTCACTTTGAACGTCGGGACTGAATAACAGGTAAGCTCAGATGCTTTAATTACAGGTTGATCATCCAGTACGTATATATATGTACAGGTAAGGGTGTACACGTAAGGGTGTACATGTAATTATGTACAGGTAATGATGTACAGGTAATGAAGTACAGGTAAGGGTATGCAGGTAAGGGTGTACAGTAATCATATAAAGTAAGGATTGGTCCTTTGTGTCAAGTGCAAACGGATGATTTGGATTAAATTCTAATATATTAATTAATTCATCCATTTATTTATTCATTCTTTTTTAACCAAAACCATTATGCTTATAGGTACATAGACATATACATATAACATTCTCTAAACATCATTAGAATAGACAGGAGAGTGACATCACAGTATACATAAAACACCGTTCAATAATGTGTATATTATAATACTTATTTAACAATTACAGTTATGAAACACCACAATACATAAACCTATAATAAACGCCTCTTAAATGCGAAATATAAATATTTACCTGAATTAGATAGCTCTCTTACATTATTTATACTAAGTAATTGTATTAATTGTAAAATAGAGGGGCTTCTGTAATATTATTGTTTGATTAATCTGTGCCTCAAATCGCTAAAAAAACGGACAAATCAAAATAATATAATACTGTCGTTAACTAATAAAATGTATTCAGTTATTGTTGTATGTATCATGGTAGTTGAATCTGATGGTGGAGTATCAGTGGCTGCGGCTAGCCGCCACTTAGTAATAGGAATTTCTTTACATAAAAAAAAACTTTAGCTATATTCTACATCTGGACACTTTCGAAAAATATTTTTTTTAACTTCGCATTTCTCGTAATTGTTTTCTTAGGCGGAAAATGAAATATGTACTAGCGGAAAAAAGAAACTGTTCATGCGGAGACTTATTATAGAATATGTATTACCAACTGTATATACATGAAAATTCACACACATATCCGAGTGTGACACATACACACTATCTGTGTGTCATTGACAGTTTTTCCCGTGCAGTTTGCTCTCTATAGGCGTTGACCGGCTTGTCCATTTGAGAAATCGCTTCCAAACGGCAAGTTTGATTGCACGGACACTCCTGGGGTTGCTACCAATAAGCCCGAGAACTGTACGGAACCGATTGCGTGAACGAGCTTTCCGTCCGTGACGTCCTGCAATCCGCCCAGTTCTTCTGCCACGTCATCGTGTAGCACGTCTGGACTGGTGCAAAAGGCATCTGCGATTTACTTGACGGGATTGGGCAGGCATTTTGTTTACGGACGAGTCGCGAGTCCACGTGGATAGTAGTGACGGCCGTTCCAGAGTGTATCGTCGCGTTGGAGAACGTTTCAACGACGTTCTTTCGGCGGAGGCAGCGTTATGATTTTGGGCGACATCACAGCCAACGGGAGAACCCATCTGTTGGTTGTTAACGGGAATTTGAACGCGCTACATTACCTAATCAACCGGTGACTTTGGCTGATTTGGCTGCAGCGTTGGTACAGATCTGTATACCATCCCACAAGCATTCTTGAACCGTCTGATAGGCTCCATGAGTCGACGTTGCCAGGCTTGCATTCAGGCAAACGGTGGACATACGAGGTATTAACTTTGTGAACTCAGTATTGACCCCTGCTGTGTTTACGTCACTCCTGAGCGGAACGTATTGATTCCCTAACGTGGAAAATGGAATGCAGCTGTTAATAAATAACAAATAAATTGTCCCTGAAAACCTTGTTGTTCTACGTCATACACATTTATTTTTATAACACATTTTAGGCATACACAGTTTCTTTTTTCCGCTAGTATACATGACCTGGGCTTTTAAATAATCACCAACAGATACTACTTAAACCAATTAGTGAGTTATACCTGTAGTTCCACATATGATTATAACATTTGAAATAAATAAAACTCAAAAGTATGATTTAATTTTAAAATGAAGAAATAAATTCATGCCTAGAAAAGGGCCTTGTTGAACTCAAATATATGAGAAATCTAGAAAAAGAAAGAAAAGGAAAAGAAATAAAAAACGAAAGAAAAAAAAAGAAAAAAAAAGGAAACAAAGAAAAACAAAGATAGAAAGAAAGAAAGAAGAACCTCTATGTCAGAAGTGTTATAACATTACAATGATAAAATAGAGTACATTCAATTATGAGTCTGATTCCAATATAAGGTATGATAACTTTGTATAAAAAAATCCTGAAAGTCCAATACTCTTTTTAAAGTATACAATGTTTTCTGGTGTTTAAAATCAACGAGCGTTTTTAATTTGTATACATATAAATATTTTGTCAGCTGCATAACACACACTTTGTTTAAACCCTTCTTATCACAAAAACACCAAACCGCATTTATCGCTTCTAGAGAGGATGCAGTTATTAGAAGATTTCCCTTTTTAAAGGAGATACTTCCATGTAACCTAATAGTTAAACCACACACGGTGATGTTATGGTAGCAGTGTACAGCAGCGTACGGTGGCCATGGGTGATATTTCTGTACAATGAATAACCCATGTAATATTACATGTATCAAAAAAAAAACAAAAAAAACCTGAAATAGGCATATACATGAAGAAGTGGACTATTTGGGCTTCACATAAAAAAAAAAAAAAAAAATGAATTTGGTTTGAGACTACATTTTTGGCCATTTGCAAATCAGTGTCTACACAAAAAAAGCTAGCTTTTGATGTAGTCTATTTTTGTACTCAACACATGTGTAAATATTGTGAAAAATGCAGTTGAACGACCTATGTTAAAACGTGAGTATTTCCGTTACCTAATAGGTGATATTCAATTTAAGACAGGTTTTGAGAAAAAAAATACTACTTGCGTGGGGCTTATTTTGGGTTAAAAATCATGTTATTTTGCATTTTTTGGCGTTTTTTGATGTGGTAATCATGGCTCCCAAACCTGGAGAAATAACTTTTTGAAAAAAAGCATTCTTCTAAAAATAACGTTTTCAAAATGTAGTTAATAGATCGCAGAGAGCGAACGTGAGCCTAACCAATGGAGTATTTAGGGTGACAGAGTTGCAACATCAAACAAGTCGTTCTAAAGCACGTCGCGTGCTCTGCTCGAACCTCACCTAACCTAGCCCCTCCGGCCGAGGCCTGCACTGGCCCCTCTCTTCAAAGGTATACATTCCGAACCTCGAGTCATGACTCTCAATTTCAAGTCACTTTAAAATTCTCCCACAAGTGCTTTTAACAATTTCTACAACATTAACTTTTTATGATAACGACATGTCCACCCATAATAACGACATGTCCACTTAATATAATGACATGTCAACCCAATATAATGACATGTCAACCCACATAACGACATGTCCACTCAATATAATGACATGTCAACCAAACGTCATGACATGTCATCCAAACATAATGACATGTCAACCCAACATAACGACATGTCCACCCATAATAATGACATATTAACTCAAAATAATGACATATTAACCCAACATAATGACATGTCAACCCAACATAATGACATGTCCACCCATAATAACGACATGTTCACTCAATATAATGACATGACAACCAAACGTCATGACATGTCATCCCAACATAACGACATGTCAACCCAAAATAATGACATATTAACCGAACGTCATGACCAGTCAATCCAACTTAATGGCATTTCAACCCAACATAATGACATGTCCACCCAACATAACGACATGTCGACCCATAATAATGACATATTTACTCAATATAATGACATGTCAACCCAACATAATGAAATGTTAACACAACATCATGATATGTTAACTTAACATCATGGTACATATCAACCCAATATAACGACATGTCCACCCATAATAATGACATGTTAACTCATTATAATGACATATTAACCGAACGTCATGACAAGTCAACCCAACATAATGATATGTTAGCCCAACATAATACAGACAATGAATATAAAACAGTTGTGGCCTTCCATATACAATCTCATTGGTTAAACATACGATGCTTTGTTTGGCATGTACCACGTGGGATTAGGCAAAAATGCACATCAAACAAGTAGAATTATCGGTCAATTGTTAATACTATCAGAATATGCATCACGATAAGAGTTACATTACAATTCGTGACCTCTAACTTAATGATAAAAGAGCACTCGGGCAAAACGACACAGGCACGATGTTTCAGATGTATGATAGTCAGGGTGGTGTATACAGAAACACTATAGTAAAATACATCGCTGAACAGAGAAGTCACTTTGAACGTCGGGACTGAATAACAGGTAAGCTCAGATGCTTTAATTACAGGTTGATCATCCAGTACGTGTATATATGTACAGGTAAGGGTGTACACGTAAGGGTGTACATGTAATTATGTACAGGTAATGATGTACAGGTAATGATGTACAGGTAAGAGTATGCAGGTAAGGGTGTACAGTAATCATATAAAGTAAGGATTGGTCCTTTGTGTCAAGTGCAAACGGATGATTTGGATTAGATTCTAATATATTAATTATTTCATCCATTTATTCATTCATTCTTTTTTAACCAAAACCCTTATGCTTATAGGTACATAGACATATACATATAACATTATCTAAACATAATTAGAATAGACAGGAGAGTGACATCACAGTATACATAAAACACCGTTCAATAATGTGTATATTATAATACTTAATTAACAATTTCAGTTATGAAACACCACAATACATAAACCTATAATAAACGCCTCTTAAATGCGAAATATAAATATTTACCTGAATTAGATAGCTCTCTTACATTATTTATACTAAGTAATTGTATTAATTGTAAAATAGAGGGGCTTCTGTAATATTATTGTTTGATTAATCTGTGCCTCAAATCGCTAAAAAAACGGACAAATCAAAATAATATAATACTGTCGTTAACTAATAAAATGTATTCAGTTATTGTTGTATGTATCATGGTAGTTGAATCTGATGGTGGAGTATCAGTGGCTGCGGCTAGCCGCCACTTAGTAATAGGAATTTCTTTACATAAAAAAAAACTTTAGCTATATTCTACATCTGGACACTTTCGAAAAATATTTTTTTTAACTTCGCATTTCTCGTAATTGTTTTCTTAGGCGGAAAATGAAATATGTACTAGCGGAAAAAAGAAACTGTTCATGCGGAGACTTATTATAGAATATGTATTACCAACTGTATATACATGAAAATTCACACACATATCCGAGTGTGACACATACACACTATCTGTGTGTCATTGACAGTTTTTCCCGTGCAGTTTGCTCTCTATAGGCGTTGACCGGCTTGTCCATTTGAGAAATCGCTTCCAAACGGCAAGTTTGATTGCACGGACACTCCTGGGGTTGCTACCAATAAGCCCGAGAACTGTACGGAACCGATTGCGTGAACGAGCTTTCCGTCCGTGACGTCCTGCAATCCGCCCAGTTCTTCTGCCACGTCATCGTGTAGCACGTCTGGACTGGTGCAAAAGGCATCTGCGATTTACTTGACGGGATTGGGCAGGCATTTTGTTTACGGACGAGTCGCGAGTCCACGTGGATAGTAGTGACGGCCGTTCCAGAGTGTATCGTCGCGTTGGAGAACGTTTCAACGACGTTCTTTCGGCGGAGGCAGCGTTATGATTTTGGGCGACATCACAGCCAACGGGAGAACCCATCTGTTGGTTGTTAACGGGAATTTGAACGCGCTACATTACCTAATCAACCGGTGACTTTGGCTGATTTGGCTGCAGCGTTGGTACAGATCTGTATACCATCCCACAAGCATTCTTGAACCGTCTGATAGGCTCCATGAGTCGACGTTGCCAGGCTTGCATTCAGGCAAACGGTGGACATACGAGGTATTAACTTTGTGAACTCAGTATTGACCCCTGCTGTGTTTACGTCACTCCTGAGCGGAACGTATTGATTCCCTAACGTGGAAAATGGAATGCAGCTGTTAATAAATAACAAATAAATTGTCCCTGAAAACCTTGTTGTTCTACGTCATACACATTTATTTTTATAACACATTTTAGGCATACACAGTTTCTTTTTTCCGCTAGTATACATGACCTGGGCTTTTAAATAATCACCAACAGATACTACTTAAACCAATTAGTGAGTTATACCTGTAGTTCCACATATGATTATAACATTTGAAATAAATAAAACTCAAAAGTATGATTTAATTTTAAAATGAAGAAATAAATTCATGCCTAGAAAAGGGCCTTGTTGAACTCAAATATATGAGAAATCTAGAAAAAGAAAGAAAAGGAAAAGAAATAAAAAACGAAAGAAAAAAAAAGAAAAAAAAAGGAAACAAAGAAAAACAAAGATAGAAAGAAAGAAAGAAGAACCTCTATGTCAGAAGTGTTATAACATTACAATGATAAAATAGAGTACATTCAATTATGAGTCTGATTCCAATATAAGGTATGATAACTTTGTATAAAAAAAATCCAGAAAGTCCAATACTCTTTTTAAAGTATACAATGTTTTCTGGTGTTTAAAATCAACGAGTGTTTTTAATTTGTATACATATAAATATTTTGTCAGCTGCATAACACACACTTTGTTTAAACCCTTCTTATCACAAAAACACCAAACCGCATTTATCGCTTCTAGAGAGGATGCAGTTATTAGAAGATTTCCCTTTTTAAAGGAGATACTTCCATGTAACCTAATAGTTAAACCACACACGGTGATGTTATGGTAGCAGTGTACAGCAGCGTACGGTGGCCATGGGTGATATTTCTGTACAATGAATAACCCATGTAATATTACATGTATCAAAAAAAAAACAAAAAAAACCTGAAATAGGCATATACATGAAGAAGTGGACTATTTGGGCTTCACATTTAAAAAAAAAAAAAAAAANGCTAGCTTTTCATGTAGTCTATTTTTGTGCTCAACACATGTGTAAATATTGTGAAAAATGCAGTTGAACGACCTATGTTAAAACGTGAGTATTTCCGTTACCTAATAGGTGATATTCAATTTAAGACAGGTTTTAAGAAAAAAAAATACTACTTGCGTGGGTCTAATTTTGGGTTAAAAATCATGTTATTTTGCATTATTTGGCGTTTTTTGATGTGGTAATCATGGTTCCCAAATCTGGAGAAATAACTTTTTGAAAAAAAAGCATTCTTCTAAAAATAATGTATTCAAAATGTAGTTAATAGATCGCAGAGAGCGAACGTGAGCCTAACCAATGGAGTATTTAGGGTGACAGAGTTGCAACATCAAACAAGTCGTTCTAAAGCACGCCGCGTGCTCTGCTCGAACCCTACTTAACCTAGCCCCTCCGGCCGAGGCCTGCACTTGGCTCTCTCTTCAAAGGTATACATTCCGAACCTCGAGTCATGACTCTCAATTTAAAGTCACTTTAAATTTCTACAACATTAACTTTTTATGAGTACGAATTACCTATTGTATTGTATTGTACATATATAAGAAGACACGTGCAGTCATTCTATCTTATTTTACCATCTCAAATTAAACATTTGTTGTTTTCCATAACTATCTCGAACGTTTACCCTTTGGCATCCTTAATACTCCAGGCCTGGGTTTTGCTCACTTCCGCTCTCGTTCTCGATACTCCACTAATTACGCTCACTTACGCTCTCAGCACCCCTGGAATATGTCAAAGTAAAATCGAAGGCACATGCTAGCTGTTTCATTGGTCTCAAGTAGAAAACATAATCTGACCAATTGCAAGCCTGTCCTTTGATGATTACAGAGGAGTGACATCCAAACTTCAAATCATGTCAGTCTTTTGATGTACATCAAATGATCAAACCAGTCTTCTCGTCTCATCTGAAAGGTGGCACACACTGAGCGTTCGATTTTGACATGAAATATTCCAGGGGTGCAGATAGCATAAGTCAGTGTAACCTACCCCGGAGTATCTAGGATTGGCTAGAGTATCTAGCCCTGCAACACGCTGCATGTTAATCAAGGCGTGGCTTGGACCAGATTATAGGATTTAACCTCATTTGAACTTATGATCAAAGTGCTGATCTCTTTTGAATCCTTATACTTTACGATGAATAAATGTATCTATATTTTTTTCATTAATTACCTAATTATCGGCCGATTTTATTAAATTTGGGGATGAAGCATGCTTTTTGTTCTCCTACATCAGGGTCTTTTTATCAGGCCAAACCACAAACTTGCGGTTTCTCGAAACTCCATCATTTGAATGGTTTATACTACCGACACAAAACGAGTAGACATTTAAAAAAGTATTATTCCAACATTTTTCTGAGGATGTATCGAGAGCAATTTTTTGTCTTTAAATATCGTTTGCACTGTCGTCTAGAGATGGATACTAGTTAGGTGGGATCAGGTCAGTAAAAGCTTCCATCTGTTTAGTTTGATTACCCTTTCCATTTTTTGTGTTTTGTGTTTTTCAACTCAAAATGTCGAGATACTTACCCGCAACTTATTGATGAATATCCATTACGTTTTAGGGTAACATTTTCAGATACTTACATGAAAATGCGATATACCTGTATTTCACATACAAATACTATTACACACAAGTATCACAAATCTCACACAGGTACTTGTATGAAGCATTTATTTGATACATGTATTTCAATTGTACGTACAATTACAGTAATTATATATGTACATTGTATCTACTTAAAGAAATGATAAAATAACATTTAAACTCACATCGTATTAGTATGACGCATGTCATGAAATTAAAATTTCGAGTTAGAATGTGCCAGTTTATCATTTCACCAAACCACGTATGATCCATGCTCTTCCACAAGTCTCTCCCGTATTTCAAATTTAACAAATGAGCCATGTTAAAATAATCGTTGACCTACTGTGTATGTTTGGTCGAGAGAAGGTATACGCGTGTATATACTACTCACATTTTGCTAAGGATCACCTATATTTTGAAAATAAATCAAAATGTTAGAAAGGATATTATATTATCCTTCTGTACTGTTTTGGGCAAATATGTTAGCCTTCCAAATCGTCCTGTGTTGGTGTGTTCAGTCAACCATAAAAGCGCGTGCACCATTTTTAAGTCTACACCTCTTTAAAAAGTTAAGCTAAGCTAAGTAAAGGAAATCAATTTGATGAATATTCTAAGCGTGCTTTTGTTTTATATGACACAAAGACGAACCAAACAACGGTTAAATGACGGTGAAATGAATAGGGGCATCATAATGCTGCAAGCCAGCATGTCTCAACGTCAGGTTGCAGCAGACCTTGGTGTGTCTCAAAGTGTAGTGGCAAGAATGTGGAATCGGTTCCAAACTAACGGAAACCATTCCAGACGTCATGCTGGAGGTCGTTCTAGGGATACAACGCAGCGCCAAGACCGATTTTTGCTCATACAGGCACGGCGTCACAGGTTCCAGACTGCCACAGCTTTACGAAATGACCTCCTAAATGCTTCTGATACCATGGTACCCACTCATACTGTTAGAAACTGTCTGCATAATGCTGGTTTAAGGTCACGTAGACCAACAATACGAGTTCCCAATAACTGCCCGCCATGTTAGGACCGATTATATCTGGTGCGCAATTATCTATTACTGCTTGACAATGAAAAAAATCGTTATATATCTGACATATTACGTGAATTCCTTACACACAAACTACTGTCATAAATACTTCCTGTCGACTTTTCTGATTTTAACATGCTTTTTGCAATATCATATCATACGAAACGCATGATTTGTGACCTTATGCTATGATGCCATACTTTTCGTTTGTTGTAGTAACTATGAGCAAGTGGAGTTATCTACACTCACCTCCAACTGTACCAAATACGTACAGCAGTTTAAATGACGCTTTAAAGAGAAATTCAGAAACCTCTCCCAATACAGAGGCGTTCATCTATCGTTGTCCAGATGGATCTCGCCAGAGTATCACCTCCAGTGACCTCTATGAAAAATCGAGATGTGTGGCCAAGTACCTCATTACTTCCGGTCTATCGCGGCAGGACAAAGTTGTCATTTTCGGTCCTAACACACTAGCAAGAATCGTAGCGGAATTTGGCATCTTATTGGCAGGAGGTGTTGTCCTTCAACTCAATATCAACGTCAAAAATGCCACCGACGCCGCCGATATGTTAGACAAGGGTAGATGCAGAATTGTGTTTGCTGATCCTGGTGAGAACGATGTTTTGCTTCCGGTTATAAGTAGTCTGGAAAGGGAGGATAATAATAAAAAACAAGAGCATCAGTTCATCTTTTTGAGAAAATCAAGCTCAACAAAAATCGCCCACACCCTCATCAGCGACATTCAAAGTGCAGAGAATGCAAATACGGTGTTGCCGGAGGTATATCCCGAGGATGACGCAATTATATTTACTACGTCCGGTAGTACTGGTAAGCCTAAAATGGTTGTCCATACTCATTTAAATTTTATTAATGCCTTTCAACAGTTCGCCCGTATAAAAGAAGAACAAAACAAATCATTCAACAATCGGCCTTTTTGCTGGCTTGGTGGAACACTAGCAATTCCCATAGTTATGGGATCTCCTTTGGTTTTCACCGACTCAAATTTAAGCACAACAGTGGACGGAGTCAAAACCATTTGGAAAATTATGAAAGAAGAAGATGTTGACAATGCTTTATTGATGCCGTATGTTCTACACGACCTTATCACAGAGCAAGACAATATCGAAGACGATGGATTCCGGTTGCAATCCATAACGACTGGTGGTCAAATTATAGACCATTTCTGCACAAAAGTATTAGGAAGGTTCTGCAGATCATTATCAGTTGGATACGGTTCAACAGAGATCATTGCCGGCACCTTTCTGCCTACTCTTCGTCCGGGAGATCACCTCGAAACTGGAAATGTGGGAAATCCTATGAACGGTGTGGAAGTCAGGATCGTCGACTCAGAAGGACATCCAACAAAAATAGGGCAGGTAGGCGAAATTCAGATCAGGAGTAGCTTTTTGATGAAGGAATATTTCGCAGATGAAGCTATGACGATGAAAGCATTTACAGATGATAGGCATAAATGGTTTAAACCGGAAGATCTTGGTTTGATTACGTCATCAGGAGATCTGATCATACGCGGTAGAGTAAAAGATAATATTTCCCGCGGTGGAAGGAAGGTGCTTCCGGCGTTGGTGGATGACGTAGTACAGCATCTAGATGGTCTCCGTTTCGTGGCGACAGTGGCAGTACCAGATGCACGGCTGTATGAAGAAGTATGTGTCTGCTTCATAGCGGAGGAAGGGGTTGACCTGTCTCCATCAGACGTTCAGCGTTATTGTGAAGATAAATTCTCCAAGGATGAATCGTTAGATGGCATGGGGTCTATGCCCAAATATTTTGTCAGATTCGACGAATTTCCAACGCTCTTCACTGGGAAGCCCGACAAACAGGAACTGAAGCGACGGGCAGCAGGGCGCCTAAAACTTCATGTCGGTTGATAGGAAAGCATTTCTGTATGGCATGCAGATAACAATTTATTCTCTAATATATTTGGATTTCATACAAGTTATATCTTAAACAGAGCACAAGACGCATTTTGGCATAACAAGGTAACAAAGTGATAAGAAAACAGCTTATATGAAACTGGTTAAGTTACTTATGTTCTAATATATGTTCTGAATGAAATTTGAAAACCTTGGAAAGGTGAGTCCTCCTTTGCTTATATCAAGCAGAATGATTTTATTTTGTGTTGTAAATGGCAGTTATATTTGTACATTCATTCCCGAAGGAACATTTGAACTCGTACAAATCGAAGGATGGAATAGTTCATTAAAAAATTCAAGGGGCAAATGAGCTAACATAATTATTTAGAGTTGTGGCACTGTTAATTTACAATATGGGTCTGTTCATTATCGTAAACACATTACTTAATTGACGATGATGCTGTTCATTTTGATCATGCTGACCATTATGAAATCAAGATGATTGTCAAACCAACACAAATATCATACGTCGTACATCGTACGTTGAAGCCTTCGCACATGCGCCAGGGAGGATTGCGGGGGGGAGGGGGAGGGGGATCACCTAATAGATGAATCTATACTTGAGACTGAAAAGTCATCTAAGGATTGAACAACATGAACATTGGAAACTTCTCGTCAATAAAGATATCTATTTTTTAAATTTGTTAAGTTATCATTTATCTTAATATAGGTATTTCCTTATATTTTCGATATGGAATTGTCGGAGCTAACGAGATTCCTTGAACAGGCTACCGTCACCGAAATATTTGCATCTACCTGTTGTCTCACGTTATTTAAGGCGGAGGAGAAGCTCAAAATGACGCAAATCAATTGGCGCTCAATGACCTATATTCACCATTGTATGGCATTGCTACTATATAACCCTACCAGAGATAGTTGCGAATTGTCCAGCTCATGAAATGCAAACAGTGTAGGAATTTCAAGGAATGAAAACAAGTTGCGGTTTCCTCCCCTTGATAGACAATATTCTGTTACGTTTGTTGACAAAAGGAAATGGAGAAAAGAAGTTATCATACGTGACTAAGTTTGAAATTAAAACAAAGGTATAATAATATATAACAAAACTCGAAAATAAACGTTACGTTACTTTAAAAATAAAATTAAACGCCACCTATATGTAAGGATTATATGTCGTCTGCGAAATGGATGATAGCGACGATATAGGATTATCCGACTCAGAGCTTGGAAAATGGAGTATTTGTTTGCCCAGTGATATGAATTCCGATGAAATGGATATGGATTCCGGCGAGGAAGAGATCTTAAGCGGACTAGATCTAGAAGGGATAGTAGAGTTGATGGCAACTTCGCGGCTCCGCAGGATTTTCAAAAGAAATTGAAGCGGAAATACAGAGGGCGGCGTTGGGCTTCCTGCACCCTCCAGAAACAAAAGGAGAGGTTTGACAATGCAACTGTTGATGACCTTTCACTTTATTGCGATGCCACACGGGCGGAAAAACACAGCCTGGGGGATAAAGGTATGTCAAGGTAGGTTTGATTGGTACTGTAGAGGTTTGTTGAAACATGTAGTGTCACACTGTATAAGAATCAATCAAAACACGTTAAATGTTGCAATTTATAACACTCAAACAAAAGACGGCTTTAACTGTTACAAAGCTTACTTTCTCACTTCTTATCTTGGGAATCACAGTCTTTAATTGTATTTTACAGTTTTAATATTGAGAAAAACTGGGAAATCGGTCAGCATGCAGGAGGTAAGCATTCAGGACCTGGTCGAGGAACTCAGGAGATTTTATGTTGAAGCTAGGCCGAAGGGGGTAGATCTGTACCGTAGGAACAATTTAAGAATATTCGGAGAGTGATAAACAGACATTTAGCCGATATTCATAGGAACATTGATATCGTGAGAGATAAAGATTTCAGACGTGCGAATTATTGTTATTGAACCATGTCACCTAGAAAAAATCGCCACTTACCTGTCCGTTGTTGATACCTTACCCACCTGTGGTCCTTCGCCACTGTGTGTGGTTCAATTTATCCATTCACTTTGTGACAAGGAGGATGAAATTTCATCACCAACATTTCATCAACATTTCAACGTGACGAATCTGAAGAATATGTAACACTGTCACACACAACCCACCAACAAAAAAAAAGTGGATTGGAATTCCGAGAATCGGTTAATGATAAGCGAATGTACAATTGTCCGGGGTCGTCCTGGTGTCCGGTGATAATGTTGAAACTTTTTTTAGAACAAAACTAACGTAAATGCCGCACAGCTGTTCAATCAGTATAACAAGATTGATTGTACCTCCCCTTTGACCACTAACATTTGGTACAAAACAAATCCTCTGGCGAAACGTACAATCGCATGTTTTCTCTCTGACGTATGTAAATCGTCCCATGTCGACAAGCAGTACACACCTCATTTCCCTGGGGCCGCGATGGCCAAGTGGTTAAGGCGTCTGACATTCTGATACCACTAGCCCTCCACCACTGGGTCGCGGGTTCGAGGCCTACGTGGGGCAGTGGACTCGCCAGGTACTGGCTGTAGGTCGTTGGTTTTTCTCTGGGAACTCCGGCTGTCCTCCACCACAAAAACCTGGCACGTCCTTAAATGATCATAGCTGTTAAGGTCATAGGAGTGTATTGATAAACGGAAATAGGAAGTACATCCCTAATTGAAAATCCAATGTAGGGAGACAGTAACTCAATTTCCGCATATTCTAATGTTTATTATTAAACTGATGAATGTTGTGTGTTTACTATTGACAGAACAGTGTGTTCTCTCAACATTAAAGTATTTCAAAGCAATCCGGGCATTAATTCAGTTTTTTTTTTTTATCAATGAGTCACATGTGTCCATTTTTCTGTTCTTCAGGAAACCGGCTACCTATTACACTACTGTGACGTTTTTCAAGACAGATAACTCTTACATGCAATTCCTATTTCAATCTCATTAAAATCATATGTTAATAAAAATACCTACGGCTATTAATGCGGTACGTGATAATGAACAGCTGTATTTATTCAGATTGTTACTATGTGTATATTGTTTTATTATAAAATGTCAATTTTTAATCGTTTATAGATAATTATTTTTACACAATTTCAGCATTCATTAAATTGATATACATAAATGCAATACTAATCTATGTCAGTATCATTTTTATTGACATTATTTTGTAAAATATTATGTCTTTCATTTTTTTCTTCAAAAATCACTCCTTTTTACATAAATTTCCATTTAAAATCCTTAAAATTCTGACAACCTATATCTTTTTTGTGGCAGAAAATTTTCTTTACTTCAAAGCAATATAACTACAAAATTTGAAGAAATTCTACTGAGAAATGGTAACACAATCCTATTACCTTAATTGGACGTAAAACAGTAACAAACATTATTATTTGTAAAAATAAAATAACACACCTAACATGGAAGTAATAGGTCATCGTCAGATAATGTCCGTAAAATACTCATGTTTCAATTCAATAAAAACTTTTTATAAAGAGATTAAATACAATTAAGACTGCGAGTGTTGACATAGCTGAATCCAGGCGATAATTGTTTCAATTACGGTGAGCTTGCAGACAAATTGATTTCAAATCAGGTTTTGAATCTACTGGTCTGCAAGCTAACTATTTATAATTGACCCTGTACCAAGTTTTTAATATATATTTGTACGTATTTTCAAGTTTACTATTTATTAATTTCAAAATAATTCTTAAGAGATCTTCTTTTTTAATAATAACAAATAATTCGAGGTTCTTTTATACCACTTTAACACTATCTAGTTCGTAGGTGGTCTCAAAGCGATTCACAAATTCTTATCCGTGGTTATATGGCCTTTGCAACCAGCAAACATCTTTCTCAACTCCCCGGTGCTGCCATTTCGGCGCTAGCATTCGAGAATTCTAGCACTGCCCAACTACGTACTCATTTACAGCTGAGTAGACTGGAACATGCGAAGTAAAGTATCTTCAAGGATACAACACAGTGCCAAGACGTGACTTGAACCCTCAACCCTTCGGTCACGAGCCCGGCGTCCTACCACTGGACTACCGTGTCTCCTTAAATGTGTTGAAAACTTACTAAGCTTAGCAACATTAGATAACAGAATTTCGGAAGGATACCGTTACAACAGTTGCCGTACACGTCTGTCTAATGATGTATTATTTTGTGTGGTACTATGGTAACGTGAAATTGTTTTATTTATTGAGAGATTAATGAAAGTTTCGGTCAATTAATTGATTAATTAATTTCAATTTCAACATATTCTATTGACAAAAAAGGTCAACAGGATAGGACATACGGCATTAACTATATGTATAAGCGTAATGTATAATTACAAATTCATCCAGTGGTTAGCACATTGTTTACATGTACATTGTAGATAAACAAAGGGGAAGTAACTCCTCCAAAGCAGATTGCATCATAGTGATGTGAAACGATAGTTGCCCTTTAATCTAAGGTCTAGTATTAAACAAGTTTGCAAAAACGATTTATTTCACTTAGCTATAGCTACACTCTTTTTTATATATAATAAAAATATTCAAAACATATATATTTGGTAGATTTGGCTTTATCTCCCCACAAGGTGCAGGCCATACAAAGTGCATATGTCACATATTGAACATCCATTGATAAAGTTCAAAAGCCAATACCAGCAAACAAACATTTAATTGATTCCTTCATAGGATGCATTTAAACAAAACGTCGTTTTATTACCTGAATATTCCGTCTTTGCGTATTGCAGAGTTATTTTCTCTTGTGAGCAGGTATTGACTGTTATGTCATTGGTTTGTGAGAGTAACGTAATCAATTTTTGAGAAAACGACGTAATTCCCTCACACAAACCAATGACGTAACAATCAATACCTGCTCCCAAGAGAAGATAACTCTGCAATACGCAAAGACGGAATAATCATTTTACATTATGATTACCTTCTATTTGTAGGGAGCATATCGATCATTGAAGTTAAAAACTATCATGAATTTTTATGTTATGATGTTTGGATCATTGAGTAAAGATATATGGATTGTACATGTATTATAGTGACGGATGGCATAACCTGGTCTATTTTTAAATTTATCTCAGGTCAGTGTGCTATGTATAATTGATATGTTTTCATTGATTAAACAAAACTATTTTGGTATATGAACCTTTTGTCATAATTTAACTCTATCCATATAGATATACTTTGTTAAGCATGAAGAGTAATGTATACAATTCCACAGCCACTCAAACTTTTTCCTGGATGTTTACGTTAACACTCTTTCATCTGATAATTAATCAATATAAAAAACGAACGATAGAACAATCAATTCTTTAATTGTAATCAAACAAACAAGCTTTATAACTACCCATCCGTTAAGTTTTGCATCGTTTGTCGCATTAATGAGGTTGTCATAACGTGTTCAATAACGCATTTCCCGTACAGCATTATCTCAACAAATAATTGGTTTTCGGCATACAATAAAACTATTTGTATATGGTTGATAGCTTTTAATATTGAACATGGTGAATATGTAGTGACATTGTGCATGGTGAATATGTGTGATATTGTACATGGTGAATATGTGTGATATTGTTCATGGTCAATTTGTTGCGATATTGTACATTGTGAATATATGTGATATTGTTAATGGTGAATATTTGTGATATTGTACATGTTGAGTATGTGTGTTATTGTTCATGGTGAATATGTTGTAATATTGTACATGGTGAATATGTGTGATATTGTTCATGGTGAATATGTGTGTTATTGTTCATGGTGAATATATGTGATATTGTACATGGTCAATATGTTGCGATATTGTACATGGTGAATATGTGTGATATTGTTCATGGTGAATATATGTGATATTGTTCATGGTGAATATGTTGCGATATTGTTCATGGTGAACATGTGTGAAATTGTTCATGATCGATATGTTGCGATATTGTACATGGTGAATATGTGTGATATTGTACATGGTGAATTATTGTACATGGTGAACATGTTGTGATATTGTTCATGGTGAATATATGTGATATTGTACATGGTCAATGTGATATTGTTCATGGTGAATATATGTGATATTGTACATGGTCAATGTGATATTGTTCATGGTGAATATATGTGATATTGTACATGGTCAATGTGATATTGTTCATGGTGAATATGTTCTGATATTGTACATGGTGAATATAGGTGTTATTGTTCATGGTGAATATGTGTGATATTGTACATGGTGAATATGTTGTGATATTGTACATGGTGAATATGATGTGATATTGTACATGGTCAATATGTTGTGACATTATTCACGGTCAATATGTTGTAATATTGTACATGGTGAACATGTTGTGATATTGTTCATGGTGAATATGTGTGATATTGTACATGGTGAATATGTTTGTTATTGTTCATGGTGAATATGTTGTGATATTGTACATGATCAATATGTGTGGTATTGTTCATGGTGAATATGTTGTGATATTGTACGTGGTCAATATGCTGTAATATTGTACATGGTGAATATGTTGTGATATGATTCACGGTGAATATGTGTGTTATTGTTCATGGTGAATATGTGTGTTATTGTTCATGGTGAATATGTTGTGGTATTGTTCATGGTGAATATGTGTGATATTGTTCATTGTGAATATGTGTGATATTGTACATGGTGAATATGTGTGTTATTGTTCATGGTGAATATGTTGTGGTATTGTTCATGGTGAATATGTGTGATATTGTTCATTGTGAATATGTGTGATATTGTTCATGGTGAATATGGTTGATATTGTTCATGGTGAATATGTTGTAATATTGTACATGGTGAATATGTGTGATATGATTCACGGTGAATATGTGTGTTATTGTTCATGGTGAATATGTTGTGATATTGTACATGGTGAATATGTTGTAATATTGTTCATGGTGAATATGTTTGATATTGTTCATGGTGAATATGTTTGATATTGTTCATGGTGAATATGTATGATATTGTTTAAGGTGAATATGTGTGGTATTTACCATATAAAAAGATACCGTCTAAATGAATATTTTATCATTGTTCAATGTGATAGCATATTAACAAAACAAATCCATAATTGCATAGTACGACCCCAAAAACTTGTCTATACCTGTTTTGTTATAATATAAAATATCTATTACAAAATAGTTCACCGTTATAGTTCCAATCTTTTTTATTTAGAATTTGATAATCACTGCATTTTGACAAAATCCTATTATTAAACTATACTTTGATATAAGTATCTCATCCCATTAAAACCAGCTTATCTTTGTGTTCTATAATAAAATATAATGTGCATAAAAACTCATATTTAAATACAGAAAATTCAATACACTAGAAGCTGTGACGTCACTTTGATTTACTTCATTTTGGTCAGCTGATCAATATCCACAATTAAAACACAGTCGACACCTACATAGAACAATGATTCAATGAAGAAAGAAATCATTAAAAAATCTGACTTTTGAAGTATATACCCTGTA